TAATGATAATAAAGAAAATGAATATTTATCCTTATATGTCAGTAAATCAGTTACTTAATCTGAAACAAGTATGATGAAATAAAGGAAGAAAATTCCAATTAACACCAAAAATGATGAGAAAAAATAATCGACTATGCTTATGATTGATTCTTTCTCATTCATAGTATTTTATTATTTTTCATTTCTCATAATTCCTAACCTCAATTTGAAATTTTCATTAATCTAAGAAATTTTAGACTTTCAATATAGAAATAAATATTGAATAATAATAATGTTTGAATAACACATCAACAATATAATCAAATGTATAAATTAATAAACTAACACAAACTAATAAACTTTTTGCCTATTTCTTAAAATAATATTTAACGATATTTGTTTAATTAGATATTATATTATGAGGAAGTAAAATTATTAAAAGTTTCCTATATTCTTACTATTTCCATAAGTTATTACTAATATTATTTTATAAGTAAAAATCCTGGGATAATATCTAAAAATGTATATTACTGAAAAAATAATAATAGATAGTTGGATTTGAATCAAAGTATGAATTATTCTATACCTTAGATAACAAAATATTCATTTATGCAGCCAAATTATGATTACAAGATTTGGAAAGATAATTTAATTCATTAAATAAAATATTATGCATTTTGCCATATATATAAACTACCAAAGAGTTCTCTTTGATACTCTTGTGGTAATTGTATAATGAAGTTTGATCCTCATTGTCTTTTGATAAGATAATGTATTGAATAAAATAATTATAGATAAAAATACAATAATGGTTTTAGATAATATATTTAATTATTAATTTTTGGAATTTTTGATTAATTATGAATACTCTTGATTTGCAGTATACCTTTAAATGATGAAATGATAATTAAGATAATCTTAATAATATATACAATACCTGTAAATATTCAGTGGTGAAATTTAGTAGTTTTTTTTATCTTAAGTCGAAAAGTATTGCATTCATATTTAATAATTAGAAGGTAAACATCTAAAAAAAATTCAAATAGCTTTAGAAAACAACAGCTTGAAATCCATATAATTAATAATTTTGGATTAATCATCCAGTATAGTTCAAAAAAATTTGAAAGTTCAATTAACTATCTTGGTTTAAGACCTCTGTTGGTATCTCCATTATGCTTTAGATTGTTGTTTAGGTATTACCAAACACTACCGCATATTATTCTGAAATAAATAGGATAAAGGAGCATTTTATTTAGAAGTTTATTGAACTTAAAAAAACTTAAAATTTGATTTCCAGTTATAAAAATTAAACATAAATCTAATAACATTTGGATATTAATTTAAATTAATTATCCACAGATGCAAATAGATTATGGGAAAAATTGAGGAGCAAGAATATTTTAAAGATTTTTCAATTTTAAATTAAATAAAACAGCCATAAGGATTTGAAAAGAGGGATGAAGAAGTTGTTTGCATGGCAATCAAATAGTAAAACCTAAAAATGTTTCATTTCTATGTTGCTTTTGTTTAATTTTATTAAAATAATTAAATTAAAAAGCTCAGTGAACCAAGTGAACCAGGAAAAATATAAGATGAAGAAAACTTCAGAAAGGAATTAAATTTATTTTAACAAGCTTCAGCTTTAGAGATGACATAAAAGGAACTTCCCTTAGTTAATTATTAGAAGAAAGGAAAACTTAGATTAGATGAAGATAATTCTGAAGTTGACAATAATGATTCATGGATGGATCAATATTTTGATGATAGTAATGAAGTCAATAACAAAAAACTCCTAAGAAAAGGCTCTTTACTAAATTAGAAAGGCAATATATTTTCATTTATGTATAAATCTATATAAGAATATTTTGTATCTTTATACTTAATAGATTTCATTAATTTTCACCCAAAAATTGACTTTGATTAGGTTTTTAAACTTGTTGATAAATTGCTTTAATAAATTAAAAAGAATGGAAAAGGAAAGTTTAATAGTTTAAATGAATTAACCGAAAACATAAAATTAAATCACAAATCAGAGACTTCTAATTATCCCTATGTCATTCAATTTATTAAAATTGTTGTTAATAGTAAATTTAGCAACCTGAGCTTCTCACTCTAATCCTATTATGGAATATTGAAATTTATAATTGATGAAATTAGAATGAATCAATAATCAGAAGCTAAATTATTATTAATTATTAGATTGTCTTCCTTATTATTAGATTTCACAAGAATCTCATCGAATGGGTTATATCTATATACTTAAATCTATGGAGTTTTAAATCAAATTAATTTAGAATAGATATAAATTGAAGATATTAACATTTAAGGATGCTCATTTTATAAAGCTAATTTGAATGAAACTTAATTTCAAAATGTAAACATAAGTTAATGTGCATTTAATGCATCTAACATTAAGATGTTAATTGGAATAACTTAATTTGCTCAGAATAACCAAAATTTGATGGTCATGAAGATAGAGTTTTCTCGATAGTTTTCTTAATTACTAAGATTAGATACTAATCATGGAGCAGTTCTTGGATTAGCATTTTCCCCAGATGGATAGTTATGGGCTTCTGCGCATAGTTCAGATGGAGTAGTTATGTTATGGAAGTTAAATTAATCATAAACAATAAAAGTATTTTCTGAGCATAAAGGAGATGTGGTTTCTGTAGCATTTTCTCCTAATGGTAAATTATTAGCATCGGGAGGAGATGAATTAATCTTCTTGTATGATATGGAAACTTTGGAGGCTATTTGTTCCCTAAAGGGGAATGAAGATTATATTATTACACTTGTGTTTTTGCCAACTATCAATCTATTGGCTTCAGGAGGTGATGATAAAATAATTCAAATATGGAATATTTTATATTTTCTCCTGATGGTAATACTTTAGCATCAGGTAGTAGTGATCACACTACCAGATTATGGGATGCTTCAACTTTAAAAGAAATATAGAAATTTGAAGGCCATACTGATTGGGTACAATGTGTCTTATTTTCACTTGATGGATAAACTTTAGCATCTGGTAGTCATGATAAATCTATTAGACTTTGGAATGTTCATGGAGGAAGGAATATTTAATAATTAAATGGACACTCAAATTAAGTGAATTCTATTTAAGTATCACCAGATGGACTATTTATTGCTTCAGGAAGTGATGATTAATTAATTAAATTATGGGATTTAAAAAGAGGAATTGAAATTAGAAAATTTATAGGACATTCTAATTATGTATTTTCATTTTGTTTTTCTTAAAATGGGTAGTGTTTAGTATCAGGAGGAGGTGATAAAATAGTAATTCTTTGGGATGTAAATTCATCATAAGAAATAAGAAGATTCATTGAACATTAATATGAAATATTAGATGTGAAAATCTCACCTGATTAATAGATTATAGCATCATGTGATGATAAAATAATCATAATTTGGGATCTATAAAACTCAGAAAAATACCATTGTAAGCTTGATGGGCATACTGATTGGATTTGGTAAATAGAGTTTTCTCCTGATGAGTAATTATTAGCTTCAGGAGGAGGAGATAATTTAATAAAGATATGGGATTGGAAATAATCAAAAGAAGTTTATTAATTAAATGGCCATACAAATGAATTGCGATCAGTAATATTTTTTTCTAATGGTTTGAGATTAGCATCATGCAGTAAAGATAAAACAATTAGAGTATGGGATATAAAGGAATAAAAGGAA